GGGTGGCTGTGTCCAGTCTTGTGGTTCTCTATACTTATTAGTATGCAATATTTAAAGGGCCTTCTGAGCATAGGAAAGTGCCTTATAATCTGGAGATTATGGCAAATTTATTTAAAATAATACAAAGGGTTCTGGAAAAGCCTGGCAGGAAAGAACATGAAAAGAAAGGGTCATTTTGGCTTCTGCAGAAGTAACTTAGGGGGTCTGTGCACTGAACAAAAGAATGTTATGGGACGGATCATATTTGAAACTGGAGAGCAAGGGTGTTCCAGATAGGTGTTGCACTGTAGGCAAAAAATAGGTCAAAGATTATCAGAAGTATGGAGGTTGATATACCCAACAGACACACCTGAGTTGCCTATTTGTAAAACCTCTGTCTCTAGGAGAGTAATTATTGGCTTAGAGGTCAGAACAAAGATAAAGCCTCTATACCTCCCCATTATTGCTTCTCTTCACCACATTAAGGCTTCCAATTCCAGTGGATACATCAGAGCAGAGACCTTGGTCCCTTCACAGGCAAGCTAAATCCATTAATCTTGATGCTACATTCCTACTCTGAAGAAAAATCTGTCTTCCTGGCCATCATTTGACTCCTCTCCAGCTGGGACAACAAACCCCACTACTGATGAGAGCTTGCAGCCTGCTTTGATCAGTGCAGAGACCTCTGGAAAGGCCAGAGCAATGCCTCAGGCATCTCAAAACATGAAGGTTTAAGGCATATCCATTTAAGAGTAGCTGAGGCTTTTCCTCCACCACTCTGAAAACATCAGGATGAAGCAGTTGACATGGGAGCTGCATGTTGCATAGAATGGCTTGGGTTGGAAGGGACCTTAAAAATCATCTAATTCCAAACCCCCTGCTATGGGCAGGGACACCTTCCACTAGACTGGGTTACTCAAAGCTCTGTCTAACCTGGCCTTGAACACTGCCAGGGATGGCGCATCCACAACTTCTCTGGGTAACCTGTGCCAGCCTAAAGTCATGTTAAACATGTTCCATGTTTAAAGGCAGAGCTTGAATTTTTAATTAGACATATGAAGAACTACTCTCCCAAAGCCTTGGCCTTGCCTTTAGAGCACATTTAAAATCACGTTTTGTCCGGGATAACAGACTCTGCAGGAGCAGCAGAAATGCTGATGCATTAAAGGATGGCACTTCAGAGGATGAGGTCCCAGCAGAGCATGGTATTTTCAATGCCTACCAGAGGAGTTCTGGTTAGACATACAACTTGGCAAACATCTACAACATGACTCATGAACTGGGCTCAACCCTTGGGCAACTTTCAGCAGTATGTTCAGCCTCACCTCTGTGCTCCAGAACAGTTGGCTAGCCTTGGAAAATGAGCATTCAAGTCCCCAGGTTTGGCTAGGGACTTGGACTCTGCATAGTAAACAATCTAAACCCACATTTATCCTAAGAAAACATTTTCCCTAGCCACCCTACATGAATAAGACAGAACTGACAGGAAGACAACACACAACTTGGCAGGAATTGTAGCATGACGGGTTGGTTCAGGTCGTGCAGGCCTAATCTCTGCAGAAGTTTTGACTGTACAGCTGCTTTAATCCACCAGTCAGTCCAGGCACCCTCCTTTCCCAGGAAGGCTTTCATCTTTGAAGAATTGGTCTAGCTGCATTGCTCCAAATTCACCACGTGAGTTGTTCTGGTGTGTTCTTTGTTCTGGTATGATTTTGGTGATGTTTAACACAAAGATTGATCATAAAGGAACCAGAAGCCATAAAGATTGTTTTACAACCTAACTTTTGTAGCACTAGGGGCAGATAAGGGCACAAGTACCTCATTCTAAAATAAGTCTGCACTGGACAAAGCTTTGTCATTTCTTTTTAATGAGTTTCAAGTGTACAGTGAAACAAAACAAGGGTACACTTACCTTTATTCCAGTCATGCTCCAAGACATGCTGTGAACAGTATCCTACTCTTGGAGGTCTTCATTTGGATCCTGAACTTAATATTCCAACACCAATGGAGAACTGTTTTCTGTATTTAAGGATCTGAGCTTATTGAAACACAAAGGCAGCACAGCCTGACAGCTAGAGCTACAACTAAGACAGTCTCCTGTTCAGGGGATGACCTCCCTGTGCATTACACAGTGGCTGGACATTCGGTGGCTGGAGGCAGAATTGGCTTAGGCAGCCTCTTCCCTCAGAGATGCTTGTTCATACATCTTGTCACAGACTTACCACAGTCATTTCAGCACAACTGGAACTACCACCATTTTGCAATGGAAAATCAGCCACTGCTTTGAGGGCCAGAACTTCAGGCATGTCTATGCTATGGAAGTGACAAAAACAAAAAACAAACAAAAGACATTCCAAAACGAGTTCGGTATCACAATCCCTCCCCACTCACTGACAGACCAGACAGACTCAGTAAGGTGGTGAATTGTGTTTCTTAGAGATCATTGAAAGTACATGAGCTGATTTCTAGAACATGCCAGAGATTACAGTTGTGTTTATAGAGGAATTAAATAAACTGCACGTGCATGAGTGGCTGCAATGCCATGGGCAGCAGAGTCCCTTACTTTTATTCAGAGGGCCTTGGTGATTTGTTTTGCCCATGCACAGAAACACAAAGGAGGGGAAAGGGAGCAAAAGAGGAGGCAACATACAACATCTAAGAGAGGGAAATAAAAGACAGCCTAGGGGGACCTCAACCCCCGGAGAGACAGGAGGAATGGGGTTCTAAAGGCTTGTTTAAAAGAGTTTGAGAGAGTTCCTGGTCTGGAAGCCTCAAGCCTGTATGCCTACCCCCTAAAATGATAGCAGTAAGTAGTACAAGCAGGCCCTGGCTCCTCTTCAGTAGATGCTCTTCTGACCATCCATCACATCTCAGTTCCACAGGGAATTAGGGAGGTGCTCAGGAGACGTGGGCTGCTTCACTCCAGATCTTCATCTCAGCCCTCCCCCAAGGTGGAGAAGAATGGAATTGCAGGGAAATGAACTTGTGCAAATGAAATGCTGGGGCACGGAAGTAAGCAAGCAAAACCTAGCCCCTTGCCAGATGCCCTGTGAGGAGGAAAGGGGCTTTCCCAGCACACTGAATCAAAGAAAAAGCATCTTGCTCCTCCCATCTTTAGTACTTTGCTCCCATCTGGGAACTCCAGTGATATTCTCCCTGCCTCCTCTTAAGCCTAGACAGACCCCCAGAACAGGGACAGAGCTTTCTGAATTAAAGGAGTACCCTCTTTCCAGACTAGATTACAGGCTACAGCTCAGCTTGTAAAAAAAAAAAAGGCAAGATTGTTGGAAGACTCCATAGTAACAGGACAGCTCATTGAACCCCATGTCTGACAACACATTCAAGTAATTCACAGCTCTCATTACTTTTGATGGAGAACAAGGCAATTGCTTACAGAAAGCCACAGCATTCCACACTGCAAGATTACTTCCGGCAGAGACCCCCCTGCATCTACATTCAAGAGAACCCATAGGATGTAGGAGGATTTCAGTTTGATAGGTAAGACTTCTAGAGACCTAAGTTGCCAAACTGGAACATCTGATGTCACTTTCCAGTATCCATGCTCAGAGCAGCACTTCCCTTTGAATACCTAGCTAAGCATTTCAAGTATTTTCCAACTCCTGAAAGTCAGGACTTTGTGACAGCAGAAGCAGAACAGATAGTCTTAGTCAGAAAGCTGTGCAGCTCATTCAGTCTCATCGGGAATAGCTTCAGTCCCCTCCATTTCCACCTTCTACGTAGTGGGCTTCCTTTGAGATTCAACCCAGTAACACAAAAGCAAAACATTCCCATTCTGCCACGATCCTAACGTCTTCCAGAGAGCTACAAGACAGTAGAAAGCTACAGGGTCCTGGCTTGTGTCTGCATAGATGAAAGGAATATTTGACACTCAACAACAGACTCATTCTTTAGTTCTTTCTGGAGGGAGACTTTACTCCCACACATGCCTTTTAGATAGTAACAATGTCCTTCCACTTAACTGTATTTAGCCTGTTGCACTTGATTGAGGTAATCATGTAGGCTCTCCTTTATAAAAACAGAAATGGCCATGTTCAGACAGCAAGTCATCTGACAATGACAGGCAGAATAAATCGTTTCTTTAAGTCCTCATCTCTTCATGGCTAGAGAAATCTACAGCACTACATCTAGCTTAATCAGATGGCTCACAATCACTGGCCAGCACAAACTAGCCTTTATTTCAGAAGCTCAAGGAAAAGCTCAAGTCATGCTGCCACTCATTTTAGGCAGAGCACTAAAGAATCTCACATGCTGAAGTCCTTCATCCCCAAAGGCACTGCATTAAGGCATTCTTATTTTGCTAGAGTGCACATGGACACTATTTGACAAGCTCACACAAAAAATAAACCCCAAAATTCTTTGCAGAAGAGCAAGAGCAAATTGCTACCCACTCCTCTTCTACTTCCCTTTCCTCTAAACTTAGAGGACCCTCCCTAAAGCTGCCGCAACTGTTGAGAAGTCTAACTGTGTTTAGTAAGTGCCTCTGAGTCCTACACAGAAGACAAAACCAACAAAGAAATCAATGAAGAAGCTAGGTGGAAGTGAAGGGAAGGAAAGGGAAGGGAAGATTCAGAGGCAAGAAACAGCCAAGGTGATAGGGGACAGCAGGCTGCAGACTGAAGGAGCTACATTTAAGTAAAAAAGTAGACTGGAGACAAAGCAATAGAAAAAAAAAGGAAAGAACAAAAAGGGCAAGTTACACCAAAGGTCCCTCAGAGACCTCCAAATCACCCACCAGGGAAGGAACGTGCCAACCCACCCACTCCAAGGTAAATGCCCCCCATACTTACAGGTTTACCTGACACGGTAGGCAGAATTTCCCATTTCTACAATGATAGCATTCCCAATTCCTTCTATTGCTATGTAAAGCATACCATATCCACAATAAGTGAGGGAGTTCCAGCACTTCTACCTCCCTTTCCCAAGAACTGAAGTTAACACTTATGCAACTAAGACCCTCCAGATCTCATACCAAAAAGGAAGAGTTAAAGGCTGGTGTTTCTTCATCTTCGAACCTGAACTTTTTGGTACTTACTTGCAATCACCACCACCACAATGGCACAAATCACTCCCATCATGATCATCATCTGAAGAAAGAGATTGTCAAAGAGTAATACTCAGAACAGATTGACAAGTTCATATCTTCCCTGGCCTGGCCCTGGAAGTATGAGAGCCAAGGCCTCCAAGTCTTTCCACAGTGCAAGAATCTTAAACATTTGAAATTATTATTAAGCCCCAACTGCACTTGCAAAGCCCTGCAGGAGAGAAGTAGCCCAGTTTCTTCCTCATGAAGGAGATTGTTGCACTAGGAAACTCACCTTGCAGTTCTTCCACCAGTACTTCCTCTTGAGTTTTGCTGCACTGCTTTCAAATATTGAGGCACCGGCCTGGAGGGCATCTGCCCGGTCATCTAGCTCTGACAGCTTCTGGTCTCGTTCCAGCACCTTGTCTACATTTACACACATTATATCAACCACCTGCAGAAGGAATAGTAGCAGCAGTTGTATTGGTAAAGACAGTTGAAAAAGTAAGAGGAATAACCTGGCCAGTAACTAATGCTGAGATACTAACAAACGAAAACTATGAATAAGGAAAGAAGATCAGGATAAGAAACAAGTAATTTCAAGTCACTGCCTACTTTGAAGTGTGGGAGGGAAAAATCCCAGACTCGCTGTTCAAGTACACTTAAACAAGGTCCTCGGCCCCACATTCTTATCTACTTTTAAAAGCTCTCAAATCCAGCAGAAAGCCAAAGCCACTCTCCTCACAAGAGGCATCAAGTCCCGGGTAACTGCAAAATTAACTTACGAGCTACATGTTGCTGCCCCAGTGAGGCACAAAGGCGCTACTGCGCGGCAGCAGCCACGCTACGGGCACTGATCCCGGGAAGCCAGGCAAGGGTGCCCTCACATCACACGGCACACACACTGTTCCCTTGAAGCAACAAAGAGAGATTAAGAGCTGTCCTGGACGCTGTATAGCTTTACTTCCATCAGAGATGAAAGCCTGCTCCTTGGAAGTCATATCTGGAATTAAGCAGCTCTTAAACATCAAGCAAGCTCTCTTCCAGCCTCTTTACAGATTTTCCATTCTATTTCTTAGCATTATTAATGCATTTCCGGCATTGGCATGACAAGAGGAGGCACCCCCTCAGTGACAGACACCTGTCGAGGACATCGCTGCTGCAGAGCAGTGGGAGAAGTGTCCGGGCAGCCAATGGGAAGACAGCGGGGCTGGCAGAGCTACTAACCTCCTGCACTTGTGCCTGCGTCTGCTGCAGACGGCGGTTACTGCTCAGATTGGGGGGAGCCGCGGGGAAAAGGCCCCCCCGCCGGGGGCTCCCCCTTCGACAGCTCCCCCTTCGGGGGCTCCTCCCTCGGGAGCCCCGGGAGCTGGTTGCTGAGGAGCGTCAGACCTAAGGAAACACACACACGGGCAAAGAGAAGACTCAGCCGCTCAAGAAAGAGCCCTCCAAACCCACGCGGCCCCCGGTGTCCCCAGCCTAGGGCAGTGCTGCCGGCAGTCTGGAGGGTTCGCACCCTCCCTGGATCGCCCCGGACGGGGAGCAAGCGGGCTCGTGGGAGAGCCCCGAGCACGGGCGAGC